TTCTATTGCATTATTTGGACAAAGGCTGTTTTCCTTATGGCGACACCTTCATTTCCAGATGTGCTCAAAGGGGGCAGAGGGGTGGGTGCCTCATCTCTGATTTTCCCACAAGTTCTGCATGAAGAATTTGAAGGGAGGGATGATGACTTAATCAAAAGGCTGCAAGGAAGAATGAGAAGCCAATATTATTCTTTATTGAATCTGAAACCTCAAAGTTAATTGAGCCTCTTATATTCGCTTTAGAAGGGAAATTCACATATGCCATCCAAAGATATTATTCGAGAATTCTTTGAAAATCTGGAACTATTTGGTGAATGGAAAGTAGGTGCAATGGATGGTAGCCATATTAGCATTAATCTTGGAAGGGAAGAAGACTATGCTAGTCTCTTTTGCTGGAAGCCATGGTTTATTGAGAATGCTCAAATGAAAGTCTTAAAGTGGACTTTCAATTTTGATCCAGCCACTGAACCTCTAATTATTCCTATGTGGATTACTTTTCCTGGATTTATGTTACATTATTTTAACCTAAGAGTTTTTTTTTTCTTTGGGGACAATTTTTGGAAAATCTATGAAGGTGGATTTGACAACTCACACATTTAATAGGCCTTCAGCCGCAAGAGGCATGGTGGAAAAAGATGTTACTTTATCATTGCTAGAGGAAGTTTGGATGGGCACACTCCATATTGGGTCCTGGCAAAAAGCTAAGGTGGAGTATCAACCTAACTATTGTTCAAGGTGTAGGATATTTGTCCATAACATGGAGAAATGTTTCATTGCACATCCTGAACTGAAGATTAATAAAGCGAGGAACCCAAGTGTCGCCGCGTCACCAATTCTTCGATCCCGTCATTTGCTGATGTCGATGTTGAGGAGTTGCCAATTTGTTTATCGTCCTGAATTCTTCCAACTCATACCGTGTTGATGGATAAAAGAGAGGAGAAATCAGGGAAAGTAACACAAACAATAACGAAAACAAATAAATGTCTAATGAGCTTTCATAAAGAAATTTATCGTTACCAAAGAATCCTCATGAAAAACATCATGCTATAGATTTCAGGTTTATATACCTGTTCTGAGGTTCATATCTTTCTATCCGGACAACTCCCTTTAGTTAAATATATCTTAAATAATCATGGATTATTTAAGAAAACTTCTGATTAAGGTTTAAATTTGCTCTCAGAGAATTCATAGATAATTGTCGGCGGGGAAAAGGGGTTGAAGGAGTTGCCCGTAAGAAGCTGTCGATCACTGGAATCGAAATCCTGTCGCCCGCTTCGGAAGGACATTATAATTTAAGTATATATAAGCTTTAGAAAAATATGAAACCAAACGGACCCCGTATTTTTCATAATTTAAATGAAAGAGCACTATACCTCAAACCCTGTATCTCTCCCGAAGGATAAGCACAAGACTTGAGAATGAGGCTCGATCAAATAAACTAAGTATATGACATTCGTTTGGTCTGCGAAACCGTTTGATTTGCTTACAATTTTTGCTATTTAATATGAAGAATTAAATAGGGTTTATATTAAGCTGGGTACGGACAAGCTTCCTATAAGGGCAAGCCCCTATGGTTAATTACATCTTAAATGACCGAAGTCACCTAAGAATACTCTCGATAAAGTTCAGGAAAAATTATCTTCAAGGACTTCAAAAGGATAGGACATTTCAACGAAATCGGAAAAAGAGGAAAAATTATCTTCAAGGACTTCAAAAGGATAAGACATTTCAACGAAATTGGACAAAGAGGTGCAAAAGGGAATAGTTCAAACTTGGAACATTTA